ACAATGGTGGGAGGGGGCACGGTTTGCTGCTACAGGTTTGTCATTGTTGGCTTAGTCAGCTTCGGATTTTCTGACAGGAGACCGAATTCCGGTGGTTTTTCCTGGTAGCAGCAACTGGCTCGGATTTCAGGTGCTTCGTGGTGTATTTCCGAGGTTACTTTTTGTGGTATTCGGTCGTCTTGCGGTTGTTCTGCCAGGATCGGGTCAGGACTTTGCTCACGGCTCGACGGGGGTGTAAGACGCAGAATAGTCCGCCAGCCGTGTCCCATTATCGGGTAACTCGGCTGAAGAGCCGCCGGGTTCACACAGAGTGAAGGGCTATGGGTGCCCAGCACCTCCACCAGAACATACGATTACTGCTGAGCATGACCTGCAATGTCCCAGAATAGTGAATATTGATAGAAGCTAGGACTGGAACAAGGATCCGTGACAGTATAACAAAACTCGCAGAAGAGAATCTATCCTGACCACTGAAGAAGCTGCATTGCTTTAGTGGCATTCTGTCCGAATAAATCCTCTCCTTCGGGGTTTGGCGACTGCCGTGGACGAACTGAACTGAAATGGATGTGGGACCACTTTTCTGGTAATGAGCCACTGCAGACTGTTGCCACAAAGCGGCGTGAGCTGGGTACGTAACACGCTCGATGCAATGTCCGGACAGCTTGCAATTCGCGTAACGAGTGTGGATGAAACGTTTGTGTTGACGAAACGTGCGACAGACCAGCGGGATCAATACCAACTGCAACACCTGTGCTCCGTGAAAGTGCACGTCTACGCCGGAACAATTTCGGAAGCAGCACAGCATCACCTAAAGCATGGCACAGGAACTACCAGCTTGAAGGCAGCTCTTCGGTGCGCCGCACACCTGTGCTCCGTGAAAGTGCACTTCTACGCCGGAACAATTTGTAAGCAGCACAGCCTCATTCAGCACGGCACGGGAACTACCAGCTTCAAGGCAGCCTTCCGGTGCGCCGCACAACCGAAGTAAGCCCTCGGTCATTTGATCGAAGCTGCACCACGATTGCACACCGCCAAGCACTACTCACGCACTTTCCGTCGCTAAACTGTGTATCCAAATATATTGCACACGCTTCACTGAAAACCTCGAAGATTCCGATGGTCAACGAGAGCACAGAAACGTCGCCCTTAAATTTTATCCTAGCGGTATCCGAATCAATCCGAGGTCCGAGCAACGTAGGTCAGATTGTCTCTTCCGTGGCAATATCCCGGTCGGTCACCAGCGAAATGCACACCGTTCCTCCATATTTTCACGTTATACCTACGTCAAACACCACGTTGAACTCTGAACTCGCTTTCGACCGGCCTCATATGACGGCTTCCGCGTCTGAAATCAACTCGCCGAGACGAACGACAACCAACAAAGTATCTGACAAGCTCCGGCCCAGCTGGGGCCAGCCGCTGCATGGGCGCTGCCATCTTTTCTGTGACGTCACGTATTTGGTTTGGTCATGTGACGTGTGGTCAAATTTGCGTACAATGGCAGCCTCCTTATGGGGGTCACTTTCGAGTGCAGACCGGAACCCCGGTTTATCGCTCTAAGCCCCTCTACCTCGTTGGTTAGGTTATTTTGTTTGTATTTATAAACAACTACTTTGCCATTCGCTGTGTACGTAAAAGTAATACAAGTTCACATGACGCGGCAATGGGTGCCAATTCGTTTCTAACAGGCCCTTTTTGCTTAATTATACCTTATTTGACAACCGTAGCACTGGCTCCGTTCTCAACCAACGTTTCTCGTCGAAAACCTTGATTTTTCTTGTTGGTAAAAAGCCACCTTTGTTGAAACGTGTGTCCTGAACCCGAAAACTTTGGAGAGGCTCTCTTTCTTACGTTTCTGCCGAGAGTTGACCCGCAAGCTCGGCGGAAACTCGTTTTCTGCTTCTCAACTTTCATTGCCTTCAATCCCATGTCAACTGCAATGCCTATAAGTTTGACATTTTTGGTTGTTGCAGCCGAAGGTTCTCTCCCGCTGTAGCCGGAGATAGCCTTTGATGCGATTGCTCTTGTATTTGCATCGCTATCGGCTTTTGGGCAGTTTGCCGATTAATATCGTGGAGCGGAATTCAAAATAAAGCAAACAGCATGCTTGAACCCTTCGCCATCGGTTGCGAGGTGTAAAGTCGCCCATCTCTCTCACAACAGTTGTACATTAGAAAATTTCGAACTAGCATTTTGAGATGCAGGTAAAAATAAGATTAAAAGCTAAGAACAACCGAAGCAGCCGAAATTTCGAAACCACAAAAAAACATAAAATATTTGTTGGCTGCACTTTATAGCTTTCACACTTGAATGGAAAGTGTTTTGTTATCGACTGTAGGGGGATTTGAGTTTGCTTAGTGTAATGCGGGAAGCCAAAGAAGACTATATGATATAGAGCTAGAGGCTGAAAGCATAATCGAAAATTCTCTGTATTTATGTAAATAATTTGCGCTTATACAATACAGGTGTCGTGCTTTGGCGAACTTCACCGCTAAAGATAATTCAATAATTTCTGTAGCACATAGTGCCCAAACTTTGGAACGAAGAGAGAACTGGGTAAATTGACTTACAAACATTGCTAATCGTCGATAGTTCTGCGGCAGCATCCTGTGCCGAAGATAGACATGTTGCTTCAAAGAAAGCGTGCCGTCCGACGAGCGCAAAATACCTGAGTCATTAAAAGGCCCACTGTAGTTTTTGATACTGCAGAATTGGCTACCTTGATATCTATCCTAGAACGATTGAATACGAGTAACAACTAGATTTGTCAGATTAGCACAAAGATTGAAGAATACGTATGTGATAAGAGGGGGGGGGGGGGGGGGCTCGTTTCGGAATACATCACTGCACTTGACTTTGGCGACTAGGCCACTCTACAGGGTGAGTCAAGGAGAGGCCAGGCTCTTTAAATCGATCGCAAAATTCGGTTTCTTAACCTATCGCGCTACGACTTTGTGCAGCGTTGCCCACAGATGGTGCATCCTTTTTTTTCTTTTTTTTTTTTTGTAAAATTTGCAAAGAGCGAACTTACCTGAGGAAACACTAAAGAAAGAAAAAGGCTTAGCTCCTATGGAAACGCAGCGACGCCACCGGTCTTCAAACTGCACGGCGCCGACTGCATGCCTTTACCGGCGACCAGTAAACCTCTTACCGGGGTTCAGTATCCGATACCGGGCGACCCGTATTCGTGTAGCGGAAAAAGGTTTAAGTATGGGGGTGGCCGGTAGGGGTATACACCAATTCATATTTACAAACAAACTGGTGCGCCTCTAGCGGAGGCGAGCGGCGCCGCGCATCCGCTATGGTGTGTGGGCAGGAAGTACGCCGTGCCCTTCAACAAACCATTGGGATGCGGAAGTGTCGGCGTTGGTGTGAATCCCAGTGCTCTTTTTCACGTTGGTATTGTTTCAGTTACCTCAACGAAATGAACAAGGCTGGTGACAACGAGAAAGTTGTGAATTTGACACATAATGATCGAATGCTCATGGATGCGTTAGAATAGAGCAGGTGTTGCCAAACCGCGGCTCGCGAGCCGCATGCGGCTCTTCGCTGGTCCAAGTGCGGCTCGCGGATCCCTCGCAAGGGGACCCCCCTCCCCTTCCGCCCTTTCCGCGTTTCCCAAGGATTTCAGAATAAAGAACAGCTTGCGGTTTGGCAGCCTTGTGCCCCCATATGTACAGTCGAACCTCTTTTCACTCGGATGTTTCCACAGATCCTGTTTCTTTCATTGTTCGAGGGAGTTTGGCGGACCCTAGGGCGAAACGCATCAAGGACATGGACTGTCAAACCAAGCATGCACTTTGGCTTGGGGTCGAGGAAATGATCAGTCTCGTAGCCTTTGTCATCCGCCGGTGATACTTGTCCTCTTTAGGTAACCGATGTACCCTACCGCCCCCCCCCCCTCCCCCCCCCCCCCCCCCCCCCGCAGCTCTTTCAAGTTTCTTGGTTTCGTTTGCGGCTCATAGCCCGGATCAGCCTGGCCACCCATGGAATAGAGCCTGACTCACGTGATGAGGTCTACTTACTATTTTCTGTTGCCTTCGGTAGTCGATATCCAAAGTGAAAATTGCACCCAAAATCAAACCGAATGCATCAGGCATAGGAAGTTGGTGATCGCCCTGTATCTACTGTTTAAACCAAGCTGACCTAGCCGAGACACTTTCCAGGCTTATAAGTTTGTAGAGGTCCACAATTCCTCGGTGTCGTAATTGCTATGTCGACAGTGCATAAGCTTGATGTGGTCTACTGGCCGCTGTCGTCTGCACGAGCATAAGTCCGTTTGAACTTGGGGACGATCGTTAGAACGTGAATACGTGTTGAACGTGATCCGGGCGGTCCGAATATTGCTTGGCGGCTCTCCCGAGTTCATGTTGGAACAGAACAAATAAACCTTACGACAAAAATGTATTCATGAATCCTGAGCGCTTCCCGCGGATTTGATTGTAGTCCGACAGAGTATATCTTTCGATGGCACATGCTTCCGTTCTCGAACGGATCGGGCAGGAAAGAAACACCTTTTGCAGCTCTTTCGGTGCAGCCCCAGCGTACAGAACTGCCCAACATTTTAACCAGAAGGAAAGTTTCTATTAGTTTCTGCCAAAACAACATAGCAATGCCCGGCCCGCCAGGCAACTTCCGCCCGCAGCCCAAACCAAAAGTCAGACCGAAACGCCATCACCGCGGCGTGACGTAACGACCTTGAATTGCTTCATACCGGTGGCCAGTATGAACCTGTATAGACCGGTATAAAGTCGGTCATATTTATTTATTGAGGTAAGCAAATCTAAACCACTTTTAGTATTAAAAACAATTTTAAATCCAATACCGTTCTTATAAACATTGAAAACAACCAATGTGGTCAAATGTCTTAATCACTATATAAAGTCTTAATTTCCATTATAATGAATCTTTAAAAAAACGTTCTTGCGCGTCCTTGGAACTCAAGAAAAATCCGCCAAATGGGTGGTGATAGGATGGAGAACTTCAAATAAACTACCACGATGTTGGCACATCTGCCAGGTTGAAAATGCAACAATTAAAGCAGCTGGGCGGGTTTATAAATAGGCAAGTGTGTATCGTGTTCTCCCCTTCCCCTCTCCAACAAAAAGCATCTGCCTTTCTCTCCCTTTTTCATTTCCTTCTTCCACTCTCTCACTCTCTCCATCTTGTATTTTTTGTCTGAGAGAAAGCCTCCTAAATGGTGAATTAAGGACACTTATACCCTGTCTGAGAAAAAATACGTGAAGCTATTTATTAAACGAGCTTCGCTACTTCTCTTTCAGAAGGCATTGAGTCAATCGAGGGTTGGGCTGCTCTCGACGAAGCCCATCTTGTTTATTTTATTGTTTTTGCAATGCGAGAAATAATGTTTCGCGTGTCCCGAACGGTGCAGCCACGAAGAGTCTTTCCAGGTTTGCTCTGGTGTGCTGCAGTGTGCTCCGTGGTTTCCACAGAATCAGTGGCAGGCAATGTTCCCATCGTTCGCACGGATTCGGGACTCGTCGCGGGGGATCGTATCACAGTCGGCGACCGGCATGTGGACACTTTTTGGGGAATCCCGTACGCGGAACCACCCGTTGGAGACCTACGGTTCAGAAAGCCTCATCCAATCACAGCTTGGAATGGAACGTACAACGCTACAAGAAAGCCCACACCGTGTTGGCAGCCGAACCTCCGATTTCTGGGGAACGCATTAACGGATTATTCTGGAGCCTCAGAGGATTGCCTCTACCTCAACGTCTGGCGAAATTCTCCCAACTGTTCACAATCCGATACGTGTGGCAAGAAACAGCCAGTCGTAATTTTTATTCACGGCGGTGCCTTCCAGTGGGGTGACTCAGCTTTGTTTTTTTACGATCCTGCAAACTTCGTGTCTTTGACAGATGTTGTCTACGTAACCTTCAACTACCGTCTCGGATTTTTTGGATTTTTGTCGCTGGAGACGCCTGAGCTGCCTGGAAATATGGGACTTTGGGATCAACATTTGGTGCTCAAATGGGTTCAGAGAAACATCAAGAACTTTGGAGGTGATCCGAATGATGTCACCATCTGGGGTCAGAGTTCGGGGGGAGTATCAGCAGGAATGCAGGCGATGTCTCCTCACAGTAAGGGTCTCTTCAAACGAATCATCATGGAAAGTGGCACACCGCTCTCCATGATCCTCGGAATATCTTACAAGGGTTCCGGCAAATTTATTGCTGTGACTAGCGCCCTTGGATGTTACGACTCCAAAAGAAGCTTCGGGGATCAACGTAGAGATGTGATTGATTGCTTAAAAAAATTGGACGCAGCGTTCGTCTACAAAACCTTGAAGTCATTGGACCTTGTTCAGCAAATATTTGTTCCAGTACACGGAGATGACTTTCTACCTCTTCACCCGCTTATGGAAGAAACGTGGAAACACCTTGATTTCAAAGAGCTTCTCCTTGGAACCAATTTGAACGAAGGGACTTTATTTTTTGATAACCTACAGTACACGTTTCCGGCGCTAAAGCAACTCTTGGCAGGTGACTATCGACTTGCGGTCACAGTTACCCTGGGACCTGCGTTTGATATCCCGATTTCACAAGCACGACACATCGTGCGTAATTACTTTGGCGATTATGATGTCCAGCACAACAGCCGAAGCGTCGGAGATATATTCAGCCGAATCTTCGGAGATGTTGTTTTCAACTGTCCGACCCAGCTGTTCGCCGACCTCGCAGCACAACAAGGAATAAGCACCTATAGGTACATATTCGCGCACCGGCCCAGCTTCAGTGCGTGGCCAGAATGGATGGGCGTTGCTCATGGGGTCGAGCTGGCGTTTACATTTGGATCCCTGCCATTTGTTAATGACGAAAGTAGATACACCAAACCACTCGGAGATTATGCAAGAAATTTTTTGAAGAATGTAACTTACACGGCAGAAGAAGAAACATTTATGACGCAGCTCGTGGCTGCATGGAACTCTTTCGTTCGAAATAGGTGAGTGTTTTGTGGTTTTTGGTTTATGGGTTAAGGTGCACGTTGTTACGTTCAGGCTAATTTGCTCTATAATTTGTTACCAAACGTGTTGACAATGAGTTTGTAAATCTACTTATGATTTATTAAACTTCTTTAAAAAGCAGGCGATTTTTCGCGACAACTAAAGGCATATAATTCTTGAACGAAAACGGCACTAATACGTTTTGCTTTAGGCGATGAGAGATATTATTTATAATTGTCCTGGAGTGTCACCTATTAGAACTGAGCTGGGGAATGCTATTTTGAAATAAGCTTCTTTGCTGATGAAAGAACACCAATTAGACTTTTTTTTTTATTATGGTATTCTTGTAGCTCGCAGCGTGCTAGAAAGAATTGTGGAGTAGCATAAAGGTTCAAGCGTGCAGGATGAATATGCGATCGCTCTTTTTGTTTTGTTTTTCCCTGGTTAACAAGAATGTTATTAAAAAATGACAAATATTCTGGTGGAATCTGGTGATCCGGGGCATCACCTTGAGTGGAGTTTCGTCTTCGTCAATTCCCTTTCTGACCAGAATGTAAAATTAATATATCCATATCGTGGTCGCTGTAATGGTGTCACGTAATGCTCACTGCGCGATACAATCAGCGCAAACACAGCTTCGACACTTTCGCTTTTGCAAAGTCGAGTTATTTATCAGCACTAAAGTGTACCGCCTTAGTTTGAGCTCATGATGATAAATTTTGACCCCAGCTATTATAATATACTTTCAAGTGTGGTATAAAAACCGGGAAAGCAGGCGGTCGCTTGCCCGGTCTAACAGAGTCGATTTTTATGCGTAACAAATATAATATGAGGCGAATTCGTTTTTTTTTTCTAAGTTCCAGACTGGTTGTTTAAAAAATTATAAAAATAATTATTTAGTTATCTTGTTACACTTTGATATAGGTTATCCCAAATCACCAGGCTCGATCTAAAATGGAGCGTAAAAATCGACGCCTGCACGTAACAATCTACTTACAATTTTAGTCAAGGGCTTATTTCACAGGTAGGCTTTTCTTGTAAAATTAGAAAGGGTACCTCCCTTTCTGTAAACAAATATGGCCAAGAAACTCGCCAGGGTCCATGGCAGGCGTCAACGCAGACGACGAAGTCGAGTTGCGAGGTGTGTTTGTCGCGCGCATTGATAGTTCGCGTCGGGAGCAACGTCCGAAGGTGTAGCCGACCAGCGAAACAAACCAGACGACACGCAGACGAAATCCGTTGGCATCAAAGCGCCGTTGTTATGCAAAGGCGTTTTTTTTTTTTTTATTTTAAATTTTTATTTTATTCTTCGCATTTTTTTTTTTTTATCCAAAGGTACCTTACAAAAAGATTTTGTTCAATCAAATAAACCACGGTGGTCGCGAGCAGTCTCGATAAAAAAGTAGCGCCATCTATCAATTCGAGCACGAAACACACCCCGGACTCGACTCGGTCGTCTGCGTCACCGCCTGCGGTTGATCCTGGCAAGTTTCTTGGCCCCATTTTTGCAGACAGCGAGCCACGGTTTCTAATTTTACAAGAAAAAAACGACCTGTGGAATATACCTTTGATGAAAAGTTTAGATTGCTACGTGCAGGCGTCGATCTGTACAGTGCACTTTAAACCGTGCCTGGTGACTTGGGACGCCCTATATACTATTCACCGTACAGAAATTAATCTGGTTGTACTTCTCTTGCACAGTATAGAAATTTAGAGGGTGATTCAAGGAGAGGCCAGGCTCTTTGAATCGACCGCAAAATTCGGTTTCTTAACCTATCGCGCTACGACTTTGTGCAGCGTTGCCCATAGATGGTGCATTTTTTTCTTGTAAGATTTGCAAAGAGCGAACTTACCTGAGGAAAAAGTAAAGAAAGAAAAAGGCTTAGCCCCTATGGAAACGCAGCAACGCCACTGGTCTTCAAACAACACGGCGCCGTTTCGCACGGCAGACAAGAGATGGCGCAACGAACGAGCATACGGCGTCGAGGGGCGGCGTCTTTAGCAGACGATCGTTCCTACTGAAAAGCGGCGCGCGTTTCGCAAGGGGCGACAGTCGCAGAAACAAAAACAAGCGCGGTAACAACCAGGAACTGCAGTTCCTTGTCTGCTAAAGACGCCGGCTCTCGGCGTCGTATGCTCGCAGTTGGCGTCGCGACTGCTTGCGCCATCTCTTGTATCCCGTGCGAAACAGCGCCGTGTTGTTTGAAGACCGGTGGCTTCACTGCGTTTCCATAGGAGCTAAGCCTTTTTCTTTCTTTATCTTTTCCTCAGTTAAGTTCGCTCTTTTCAAATTTTACAAAAAAAAGAAAAGAAAATGCACCATCTGTGGGCAACGCGGCACAAAGTCGTAGCACGATAGGTTAAGAAACCGAACTTTGCGGTCGACTCAAAAAGCCTGGCCTCTCCTTGAATCACCCAGTAGATTAAATTTAAGCAGAATTAGCTACGTATCACGGTTAGCGTAGTGTGGCCGGTTTACCCTAACCAACTGCTTTTTACACGTCAGCTAATATTTAGTTATGCAGGATCATGCAGCGTCTTTGGGTGTGTTCGCGACGCCAGGACTGAACATTCCTTACTCTCACTCGACGACTTAAGGTGTTAGCCACCATACACCATAAGATTTTGTCCATTAGCGTTATATTGACACAAAACCTTCACCTAACTGTTTCCAAATTTGAGCAACCAACGTTGCCTTTATTGTAGAATTCGCGGATAGCAAATAACAGTATGAAATAATAATGATATGCTACAACTGGGAAGATTTTGCGTCTTGTCGTCTTCTAATGTTTCGTCCTCTTAACAGAAACGGTGACACCCTCATAAAAAGTTGGTCAACATATACGTGTTTCTCGAGTATAGAAAACAGAAAGAAAAAAATCCACACAGCTAAAGAACATATTGAAAAAAAATATTATCATAATATTATCAGTGGCACTCCTTAACTTTAACCAGGTTCACCTACTTCATCCACTCCCTCTGGTCTCCCCCTGTAGCTAAGTCCCTCTTAACGTTCATGAATTCGACTTCTCGATTTGAACTTGTTTCAACGCGAGAGCTTTAAGGAGGTCGTGTCGCAGAAAAGCCGGCGTCAGCGTTGGTGGCGTTGTGACGAGAAATTCCGAATTGGTCGATGGGGCCATGACGTCACATACTTACATACTTTGTGCGGGAATTTCAAACAACCCACGATGCACACGTGAAACATGACGTCACGCGTGGAATGAAAGTGATGAAAAAACATAACATGTAAGCGAATTACAGGTCGCCACATGTCTTACATTTTTCACTTTATAAAGTAATTCATTTGCCTTCAAGAAAAAAATTAGAGTTTTGGGCGGGATTCGAACACAGGACCCTCCGCTTGAGAGACGGACACGCTACTGACTCGGCCATGAACGCCGCCCTTGCTGATCACTGGCAGCAAGAGCATGATAAGCGCATGAGAAGGTGATGCGAATGGGGCCCGATGACGCTGTAGAATACCCGTCTTAGAGGCCGACCTACAAAAATCATTTTCCGCAAATTCAAAAAATTTTCCTCGACAGCTTTCCGATTTCCTTCTCTCCCACTCTCATCTTGACGGCGGAGGAACTTCTTTTGTTGCTGCACCTTCTGGCCGGATAAGCTGAAAGCTTATCCCGGCTCATCCAGCCTCCGTCGAGATAGCAGTGGGAGAGAGGGAGATGGGATGGTGGCGAGAAGGATCTTCCTACCTTGCGGAATAAGTTTTTGAAGGTCGGGATTTAAAAGGCGAGGCTTAAGCGTTCTTCAAGTTTTCGCCTAGACCTAGTTTTTTTCCTTCTTCAAGATCATTTGAATCGTGCTAAGAAAATACAGTTGCTCGTACGCTAATTTCCGGCATAATGAAACACTTGAGCGGCCTTTAGGACGCACCATGATCATAAACTTGTATCAGGGGAGTGACACTACGTTTTTTCGTAGCCGAAATCCTTTGTATTTCTTTCATTTTATATCCATGAAACTGTGCCGTCACGATCGAGTTGCCATTCTCAGCATGTGCATCATCTCTATGAATATTGGGGTTTTATTTGAACGAAACCTTTTTCTCACGTGCGTCACACCGAAATTAAAGACGAGACTGATCCACAACGAGAACAGCGGTACCATTCTCAAATTCAAATTCTCTCACAGATAATATTTCTATACTGCCGTAATTTGTCATCGAATACGCCCAAATATTTTAACAGCCAAAAACTTGAAACTCGTGTCACTTATTTATCTTATAACTAAATATAAAAACTGCAATTGACCTCACGGTTTATAATATTGTTCTCTTAGGAGTGCTGTTCAGCAGACGACATCATAAGCGGACATATAGTTTGAAATGTGTACAGGATATTTATTTTTGTGTGTGTGTGTGTATAAAAGCGTGCATTCCAGAACTAGGTGTCTTCCTGTGTGTTTCTGTGCTAAAGCATGTCAGTGCAGTTTAATATTTTAAAGTGTACGTCTCAGTCAAAATTTCTCATTGTTCATTACTCGAACAATTTTCTGCAGAAAGCCAGTAATTCCGCTTCCTGGAATTGACTGGCCCTTATACAAGCCGGAAAGTCCTAAGTTGTTGTACCTTCGTCCTGGAAACTACACGATTGCACGGGACCCATTGCGGGATGCTTGTGAGCTTTGGCGGCCGTTTTTACTACAAAAGTAAGCCGTTGGTCTTTCAGATCTGTGATTAAGATTTCACTCCTTTTAGTAAATTTTCTGTCCCCTTATCGGACTCTGTTTTCTATCTGTATAAATTCCTAACATAGCTTGCTGTAAAAACATCTATTTCTTATCTATTCAGCACCGCTTACTTCTGACAAGGTAACAGGGAAGGCAGTCTGGGTATTTTAGCTTTATTATTGAACTATTATCGCCACCTGCAAACGTTTCATATACGAGGGTGAGACAAATGAAAACTTTAAGTAAGCTTTGCTCAAATTTATTTGCATATTGGTGATGCATATCTATCATTTTTTGACATCGTCTCCAGGCATGCAAATTTTGGTAGAAAAATATTTCGGTTGAGTGCGTAGCCTCTTATGCACCCCTTTTAAACTTTTTTATCGGCTCGGAATTTTTTTCTTATTGCCCCCTTGAGTGGTTCACTTGAGGCGAGAAGCAGGACCTGCGTTGACAAATGTGGCAGTTTAATTCACCGCGATTCTCTGATTTTCTATTATGGTGCCTTCAACTGCTGCAATGAACTTTGGTCTTACCACTCGGTGTGTTTGATATGGTTGGGAAGAGTCTGCCACAAAACTCACCCCTTTTTGAAACTTCTTGGTACATTAGCACAGCTGCTGGTGCGACACACAAGAATCAACATTCTGAAACTTCCTTTGACGATGAATTTCCACAGTTTTGCTCTCTCACTACATAAAATACTTATAGAACGCAGCACCTCTTCGGTGCATGACTCAAGTAGGGCTGCCATATTTACGGTGCTACTACGGCGTCACACTGGTAATCTACACCGTTCTGCCACCTGCTTGGCGCTCTTCTAATTATTGGTAAGAAGGTTGCCAACCTCCAGGACAATAGCAACAGATTTTGACCTGTCATTGTAATTATAAGCGCTGCATTTGAGTCACCCACGTGCAATAACTAGGGCTCCGGACCGATTGCAAATTCTTGAATGCGCAATCGGTGGGCTTCAGTTGAATAACTAAGCGATTAATTTATGCAATGCGGAGGCTGATTGGAAGGAGTGCTGAGAAATCCTTAGAACAAAAAGGTGAGAAATCAACCGGAAAAATCGACGTGTGCGTATTGCAATTTGAAAGTTTTGGTGTATTTGAGTGGTGTATTTTGCCTTGTGAAAACTTTAAGGCATAGCTCCCTTCTAAAAAAAAAGTAGATCAACAAACTTCCCGCGGTTAAAGGCGGACGATCACGAAGACAACCGAGTAAGCGAGGGTTGTACGGGTGGCGCCATCTCCCGATAGGCGCAGCGAGCAGACGGCCAGGGGCTCCCATCTGGAGTCTAAATTAATTAGGGCCTAAATCTGGGGGCCCTAATCTGGACACTTGGCAGAAAAGTCGGCGAGAAATTCGGAGGCTATGATTGGCCGGCGCCCAGGTCAAGTGTGGCGTTGTCCAATCGCTGCCGCCTAATTTGTCGCCGTCGTTTTCGCCAAGCGTCCTGCTTAGGGCCCCTGGACACTTAACTAAAAGTTGGCGAGAAATATGGCGGCCGTGATTAGCCAACTCCGCTCTTGACCTTGGCGCCAGCCAATCATAACCACCGGATTTTTCGCCGACTCCTTCGCGAATTGTCCAGATTATGGCCCTTGGACACTCGTCGAAAAAGCCGGCGAGGAATTCGACCACTATGATAGGCCGGCGCCAAGATCAAGAGCGGCGCCGGTCAATCACGGCCGCCAAATCCCTCGCCGACTTTTGTCGCCAGGTGTCCAGTTGGAGCCCCAGGTCGGCTGTTTTCGACTGAGAGTGTCGTCTGCTCGCAGCGGTTATCGGGAGAGGGCGCAGAAGGCGCAACCATCTCAAACCTGGTCATATGCGTCGTCTTCCGATCTTGACCATGGTCAATTTTCTTGTTTACTTCTTCTCAGGGAAGCAGCTACGCATTGCCTGTTCCCAACGGAAAACCTAGCCCAAAATTACGCCCTTGATGAAAGCTTGAGAGTGCTAAGTGCGGCTGTGAGTTTTCCGGGCGACGTTAGAGAAAACATGTGGATTTTGCTACTCTATACACGGCGCTTAATTAAATTCGAAAATAATAAAAAAAAGGGGGGGGGGGAGAGTTCGACGAGTGCAGTTTTCACTATAAATTTATCAGTCTCGGCGGATATTAGATGAGGGGATAAAAGTCACGCTAATTTGACTAATTAACCAAAACATGTTAATTACCTATTTATTTATTGGTTTAAGGGGGTATGCCGAAATTGCACTATTAACGGGAATTACTATTAGATTCCAGAACAATTTAAACACTTCCTGAAACGGTAATGTTTTTTTTTTTTAGATATTAGCCGATCAATAGTTTCTTGAAATGCAGTATTGACAAAAATTACTATTAAAAGCGAGATAATTTTTTTTTTAAGTTCGCTAAAAGGTAATGGTTTTTTACATGTAATCGATCAATTTTCGTCCGATTTAAAAATTCGTGCAAGAAGAGCGCATTGTGTGTTCAGTGACGTCATCACTTGTGCCGTCGCCGTACCCACCGAGGACACGCTGCCGAGACAATGACGTCGTGATTCGAATGACGACGTCACTCTTCCAAGCGTCATTGTGGGCAAGGCTTGCGACGTACTTTTTAAACGCAAGTTTTAAATCGAGCGAGAAAAAGAAAGCGAAAATTGATCGATTAAATCTACAAAACATTTACCTTTTAGCGATTTTTTTTTTTCAAAATTTATTTGGCCTTTAATAGTAATTTTTGTCAATACTTCAATTCCAACAACATGTCCTTTAGGACAAATAACGAAAAAAGCTAATGAAGAGATTTTAGTTAATTAATCAACTCACCGGGTCGATTATTTCATAACCGCCGAGACTGATAAATGCATGGTGAAGGCAGAACTCTTCCAACCTCATCCCCTATTTAAAAAAAAAAAAAAAAATGTTCGAACTTCAATCAAAGATTACACTTGTGTTATGATAAAGCCTTGGCGAGGCAGATGCCCGGGTGGCAAGCCACCATTGCCCGCCTGTTGTTTGCCTCGTATATAAACAGGCTATATGAGAACAGGGTCGATCATTAAGTTTTTATGAATACAAATAGCACGAAGGACAGACAATTACATGAACACGAAGACGGGACCAGCGCCATAAATGACGCCAAGGGCAGACAAGGACATTTCCCGTTTTCGTGTCAATGTAATTAAATTGAATAACCTAATCAAGACAATGAGCCGTGGCATGTCCTGCTTGATTATGCCATCTGGCCATCTAATTTAACGTCTTATATATATATTATTATTATATTTATATATCTGCTTAATTTTGATACAAGTTCTCTACCGCACGCTGACACGTTGTAATGCAGGCGGTAAAATAGTAAGTTAATGACTCGCTTCTTTGTATCCGTTGTGGAACTGCTTGCAAAAATGTGTGAAGTCGCAGGATTTATTATGTTACACAAACTCGGAGGGCAAGATGTTTATGATTTCGCGGAGCAGGTTAGAAAACACTTTCGTTAAATTTAAATCATTATAATGTGAGAGACTCTGAAGTTGTGCATCGTAAAACATTGCTACCTGTGAAACGTCTACGAAGTCTAGTCAAGAGATTGTTTATTAATTTTCTTATTTTCTGGATGTGTCTATGATCTTTTCAGCTAATGCTTAATACGACATGAAATTTTTTTTTTTTTATTTTAGCTCGCGTATTTTCTGTGTCTTATCAAATACTCTATCCGTTATTTGCAGAGCAAAATCCACGACTCCGTTACCGCAAACCCCTTCCCTTCCCAAAACCGGAAACAAAAAAAGTCCGCAAAAACCTCAAACAACTAACCAACTGACGTCTCAGAAGGACAGTTTGAATTCTTCAGCGTCGAGAGAACTGCATCTCTTCTCACTTGTTTTGTCCACAGTATATTTCGTCACATCAAATTTCAGATTCTAAACCACAACACGTTTACTGGTGATGTAACTTCTAATAAAAGACGATTGTTATGCATCCCAAAAGTCAACTCAATTGTCGAATGCTCAATTGCTTTCACTGACGTAAGACAAATATGCAATGTCTTTAAAAGTTATGGCCAGTCAGCTCTCGTATTATATCGAAATAATCATGCACGTGCCCTAATGATGGGAATTGCGATGTATGATGCTGATTTAATTAGAGAGTATCATTAGAAGGTACTTGAGAAAGTTCTTGGGCAAGACAGCTGATAATGGCTAAAGAGGTAGTAATATTACCTTGCCTAACACCTTTCTATTGCAGCGGCCGTTGAGGATTGTATAGGCAAGACAAGCTCCTCACACTCATCCTACACGTGGAACTCAGCCGTCATTAAGTCAGGCTTATTCACACATAAGGTGTCTAAAGCCTTCATTTTATGCGGAAAGAGTTACGCCTGTCTGTATAAAAAAAACGTTACATGCGTGATTGTATTACACAACGCAAACATTGCCCTCATCAAGCAGAACCTACATAACCACCGTCAAGTAATGTTAAAGTATGCAAAGGGCTTACTTAGTCATAAATAAACCAACCTCATAATAATATTTATATGAGCAATAATTACTTGGCCGTGAAGCGGGAATCGAAAACCGAACTGCATGATCCGAAGCCCGTCACCTTTGTTCGCCATGACAGGGAGGAGACGAACAGGAGCGCAAGCAACGGGACCAAGTGTGAAACAGGTGAGCCTGCAGCCTACTGTTGGCCCGAGCAGTTGCCCCCCGAATGACGAATGACCTAACCTCACGACGTCACGGGTTCAGAATAAATTAAAAATTGTCTCGGGAGTCTCTTGGATTCACCGAGCATGTGAGGGCTTTTATCTTTGTGTGTAATGCTACAGAAACCACCCAACTCTTCACGTAACCAAGCATAGCAAATCTTAACTCATGCATAATGCACACTCGGCGCATTCTGTGTTCCCCTGGTTTAACAGAAGGATCAGAAATTTAAATTTGTTTTATTTATATTCCCGTAGATGTTGTTTGCCACATTTTGTTTATTTTATGT